TCCCATTTAACATTGTCAGAAGCAAATAAATATAAATTAAATTATAAAGTATTTAAAAGTATCATCGAGATAGCTACCTTTTAGGCTCATATTATTATTAGTGTGCTCTTTAGGCATAAACAAAAGGTTATTAATATCAATAAATCAATTTTTGGCTGTGTCTATCAGTATGGACTAATCTTCGAAACCACTGAACTGATTTCAAGGGGACCTTTCTTTTTAATTGTTGTAACATTATAAACAGTGAAAAATAGTTTGTACAGACAATATGAAAGATATAATTACTGGGTAATGATTAACATTCTGAAAAAAGACTGACGCGGAGAAAGTCGTGGATAAAATCTAGTAATGAGCAAAATACATTGCAGAAACATTTAAAAATTTCTATTATTTTATCTAAACAAATAATAACCACGATTCAAAGATTATGATGTAAAGTCTGGGACGTTTCAGTCTATTCTCTTATGACCTTTTTTAATTATGTTTTATCTTTCTACAAGTGGGGATGTGCTGTTAGTAAATTAAAATAAAATTGTGTGAAATTAAGGAAATATGAGTAAACGTGTAAAAATAAATGTAACCTTTGGTGATGAGTAGCCACATTTTTTTGATGTTACTTAGGGTTGAGTTTCAAAAAGTATAATTGCCATGGATGAAAAAATTGTTAACACATTTAAAACGGAGTAAAATATCTGCTTTGGGTAGTCAATAGTCGACGCTATAGTTGAGAACAGTGCATGATATTATTAGAAAAAATACGAAAAAAATTTCACACGTGAATTAAAATAGATGAAGAAAACGGGGAAGGGAAGTAAGGAGAAGGAAAAGGAGAAGGGGAAGGAGAAGGAGGGGGATAAGGAGAAGGAGGAGGGGCAAGTATATACCATTACATACATGGTGTGTTGGAGTTCATCAACCCGCGTTTTTAAATTGAATACTTATTGTTTTCAATTAGTTTAGGCGCAAGAACCGCAAAACTTTGTAACGGAAAACTGTTTTCCGCAATATCATATTATTTAGTATTTTCAAAATAATAATGGATCACCTCACTCCTGACATGTGGACTCTCACACAGTTTAGACACAAATTAAACACTATCTGATTCTAACTATTAAATGAATAGATAGCACACACCTACAGATTCTGAAACCTCTATCAATAATTATTAAGGCTCATTTGTGTAAATTTTACATTCTGCTAGGGTAAACCGTTAGTAATTAGCAATTCACTTTTCTATATTGTTACTGACAAAATGCTTGAAACAAAATACCTACACGATGAAAATCGATTTCCTTCTCAGAGTTTTGTAAATGTAGACTTGTGATATTGCTAGTTATAAAACTGGATCAACATAAGGAAATGTGTTACATCTGTTGACTATTTAGCAAGCATTGACTGAATGCACTGGTAATACATAACCTCTACATTTAATATCTTCTTATAAAAGAACAACAAATATTACTTTATAATTAGTGAAGATTAAGACCTGTCATTAGTGCCTATTTAAGGACAATGTTATTAAATATCAATTTTTGTTAACTGATATCGGTCCTTTCAGTGGAATGTTTAAAACAATATGAAATAAGTTATGTTGACCATCAGTACTGTCGAGAGGAACACATGCTCGTCAACATCATAAGGTCGTCAGTCCTAAGACTGGTTGAACATCCACCTCCACTCTTTCCTATTATAAGCTAATCTTCGCATTTCCCCAAAAATTCGAGCAATCCACATCCTTAACTATTTGTAAACAGTTATCTAATGTAGGCCAACATCTACCCCTCCTAACTCCCGTTTCTGCTTCTAATATGTCTCTGACTAGACCTTCATACCTGAGAAGTTGTCCTACCAACCTTTCTCACCTATTTCCTATTGACTTGCATAGAGTCCTCTGTTGTCCTATTCTTTCTAATACCTTTTCATTTCTAACCTTTTCTATTCACGATATCCGCACCCGTAACCCTATAACTCGACATCTTGAAGGTTATTTTCTGCAGCGCCCACCGACCATATGTCGCACCCGTACAACGCCGCGCTCCAAACATACACGCTCAACAATCTTTTTCGAATTTCAAAATTAACTCTTCGCGCGCATAGAAGTGACTTCTTTTTATTGAAGGCGACTCGACCCTCCACTATCCTCTGCTTTGTACCCCTACTACTCCTTCCGTTCTGATTTATCTGACTCTCTAGATACCTAAAATCGGCCACTTCTTCTCATTTTTCGTCTCCTATCTTTATATTCATTATTTCCCTACTCCTTTTTCCCTTGCAAACTAGTATTTTTGCTTTACTTTTATTTATTTTCATACACTACCGTTCTGTCAATACGGCATCCATTTTATTTAAAGCTATCTCTAACTCCTCCTTGCTAGACGCTAATACTGCTATATCATTTGCAAATCTAAGCATACTAATCTTTTTTTTCTGTATATTTATCCCTACAGTTGTACTGTCTTTAATGCTTATCGCGTCTACGGTGTATAAGTTAAAAAGTAGCGGTGATAGTGTGCATTCCTGCCTGACTGCCTTCCTAACATTTAATTCTCTACGTTGCAGTCCCAGCTCTGTAACTGCCTGTTGCTATTTATACAAACTGAATATCACTTTTCTATCTTTGTAACTTATTCCTACATTTTTAGGTATATTTAACATCCTGTCCCATTTAACATTGTCAGAAGCATTTTCTAAATATACAAATCATATGTACGCACTCTTTTTTTTTTCTCTATTGTTAACCGTAAAGCTAGAATGACCCCCCGCGTTCCTCTATTTCTTCTAAACCCAAATTGATCTTCCCCTAATAATTCTTTCGCTTTTTTTTCCATCCTCCTCTGTACAATTTTAGTTAAGATTTTTGAAGCATGGGAAGTTAAGCTAATTGTTCTAAATGTCTCGCACCTTTCCGCGCCTCGTTTTGTTAGGTATGGATCCTAACCCGTTCCGTTTATAAACCTGTGGGACTGACTAACTAGCTTAAACATACGATCACTGACCTCTTGTCCTGCATGTTTTAGAATGTCCGCCTGTATCTCACCAATACCCGGCGCTTTATTATTCTTTAAGATTTTTAATACAACTTCGAATTCTTCTCCCATTATGGGATAACCTAGTTCATCTATCTCCACACTATCTTCCATTTCTAATACATTACATAACTCATGGCCTGCGTACAGGTGCTCGAACTATTCTTTCCACCTTTCTGCATTTTCCTCATTTAAATTAAAGTGACCCCTGCCTCGTTTCTTGTATTATTACTACTGTATCCTATAACTCTAAAAAGCCTCTTAATTATATTATAACCTCATCGGTTTTACCTATTTCAAACTTTTCTTCTACTTCTTTACACCTCCTATCAATCCACTCATCCTTAGCTGCCCTATACTTCCCACTTTACAGCCCTATATATTATTTGCCCTCCTTCGTCTGTCCTCTGTATATATTTCCGCCTTTCTTCTATTAATCCTACATTCTCATTTGTTATCCAGGGTTTCCTACTTTCGTTTTGTTTAAGACCTAGTATACCTGTAGCTGCTGACTTTAGACACGTTTTAATGCAGTTCCATTCTGTCTCTATGTGCCTGTAATTCTTTTCTTCCGACGCGTTTAGATTTTCGTCTGTCCTTGTACCTAACATATCATGCGTTTCGTTACATCTTGGCGTCTCCCACCTTCCCTCCTTTTCAGAATTTTCAATTTAAGATTGGTCTTCATAACTACTAAGTTATGATCGCTATCTATATCTGCTCCCAGATAACTCCTAGAGTCCTTCACTTGATTCATAAATCTTTGCCTAACAAGTATGTAATCGAACTGATATCTCCCTAAATCACCTGGCATTTTCCAAGTATAGCGCCTCGTAACGTAATAGTCAAATAAAGTAATCGAGAGGGCTAAGTTCTGTTTATTCCTACAACTATTAGGTTTTCCTGCCCTTTCACTAAACTTAACATGTTTTCTATATCTGCATAAGCTGCTTCCACGTCTTCATCACTGCAAGGTGATCTAGGCATGTAGACCTGCACTAATACCGCTTTTACCGGCTTCGTGTTTGTCAGAGTTGCGATGAAAAAATGGAAACAGTAGTTTACTTAGGATAATTTAATTGATAAGTACATGTGCTGTTCACAAAATGAGAGCTGAACCAAGACTAAAAACTAAAGACTGCTTAAGTATTTCCGTACATGTTATTTCTATATGAATAACCGTTTTCTTACAGACTAAACAAAGTCTATCGGCGACTATCGAACACATATCTAATAGATTTATGATTTTCCATCCATGACTGTTTATTAAGCTAACTCACGGCTACACGTCGCCGTTGTAATATAAACAATTACCAGTCTCAACAGTGTTTAATTTAACTATAACTAGCCTATCGCTTTTTTGTAAATAACTTTCTACACTCTGCCCTACTTTCCTACGCATTATAATTCCTACCCCTGAATTACTTTCCACCGATCCTGTATGTATTATTCTAAAGTCTCCACTCAAGAAGTCTTCAGATTCGGGCCAACGGACTCCACTAATACCTACTATATCTAATTCTAATCTATTTATCCCTACTTTTAAATTTCCCAATTTCCCTACTTGCCATATTATCCTAACATTCCATGCTCCTCGTGAAATATTGCACCAACCACTCTTGCACTTATTGATGACATCCCCGAGGTAGTCCCCGCACGGACATCCGAATGGGGGACTAGTTTACGCCCGGAGTACTTTGCCAGAATTTAATATGTGTGATACGTTGTACTCGGAATCATAATATGGTGGCTTCCCGTTGCCTTCCACATCGCAGTATTGTTCATCAGAGTCCCATACCGATCCAAACGATCTCTGCCACCCTGAGTACTGAAAAAGCTGCAACGCTCTTTCAGGGACTGGTCTTGGTCTGGTTTCTCTTTAAGAACCACTCCCCCCCTCATTATGGTTGAACCTAAGGTCCGACTGCGTAAATCGTCGAAACCAACAAGCCGATCCACCCACTCTATTTTAGACAAGTTTCAACAAGGTTCAAGTCCCGTCGTATAAGACATGCTCGTAATTCAGATAAAAGTATTTCATAACTGCATCAAAATAAAGTGCAGTTGAATAATTCAGAGCCAGTGTACACCTTTCTGAATATAATACCGGTTCAATTCCGACTCCGCCTACTATGATCTATGTTTTTCTGTGGCTTTTACCATATGCTACAAGCCATGCTGAGAAGTTTGGCAACATCGCATTGCTTCAATGTGAGAGTCCTATTCTGCGAGTCTTACTTGTTATTACTACACGTCGTTACACATGATTTTTAGACACCCATAGCGATAAAAATGAATTAAATTATTAAATAATTAACATTTGTTCATCACTGATAGTATGTGACGTTATTTAAAATACACTTCAACATGTAGGTATTAAGAACAAAATAGAAAAGACAATAAATTAGGTAATCGTTGATAGGTACCTATATGAATTATATCTCGATAATTGTAATTTTATTAAGACAAATTTATACACCACCATTGAGGCATTGCCAAAGCGCGTTACCTTTGTTTTGGGATTCGTCAATAGCCCTGACATCCCATCAATTAAATTAATTACAATTTGAACTTTTCTAATTTACGGATTTTTGCTGTCTTACAGTTAGCTGAATTTGAATTGGAATGGCTTTCTATAATTTATAATTTTAATGTAATCATTAACATTAGCAAAAGTAGATAAAATTTGGAAGAGTATATCTTTATAATGTTTTCCACAACTACACATTTTTGAAAATTGTTAATTTTCCTAAAATTGGTTTTTGGTGTTCAGCCCGTAAACATTATGTCTGCAGAATTTCATTATTACTTATTTCTTCAAAAATGGCATAAATGTGAAAAAACATCTATACTAACATTGTCAGTAGGAACAGAAATTCCTCCCCTCTGTAAATAATCAAAATAAATCCAACGCAAGAGCCTTTATTGTTTATTATGAGCGAAACACATTTGTTGCAAGTTATCATTTTACGAACAGAATGAATTGCATATCCTGAAATGTAAATTTTTAAGGAGTCATCTAAATCACAGTTCATTTAATAATCGGAATTTAAAATTTCAGTAAACTGACTTATGTTTAAGGGAGAATTTTACACATTGTAAATTTCTGTTTCATTATTCTCTGGTAATTTAGGATATGTTAAAAGCACATTGAAAACGGCAATGGATACTTTTTTTACTGTTTTTATAATGTCACTTTCATTAAAGTGATGTATGTAAACTGCACAATATGCAGTCCAATCTTTCCGAGGTATAGCACTTACGCACTTTTTTGGAATTTCACCTTTTTTTGGGAAATAAAATATAGACATACTTACATTTTAAAGATGATTTATAATTTGAATTGTAATAGAGAACACAACAACAACAACGAGGCATTTTGTTAAAATAAACTTAAAGAAAATTTACAATTAGAACACACAATTTGATCTAAAACACTTTTACTTTTTTCACTTAATAGTATTCAAAGGTATTAATCATTAAAACACACTATAAGCATCCTTATTGCACACATTTGTTGCACGATATTTCCGCGAAAATTAAAATATTATAGAACAACGAATTAGTTAGTTGTAACTCTTTAACCGGGAAATCCTAGGACATCCACAGTGTTGCCAAGTAAACCTTCAGCACGGCTTGTAAGTAGAGACGGCTGTGCTTCTACGGATCATTTAATCAAACGTTTGACAGGTGAGTAATATTCCACAAATAGCATTTCACTTCGTTCTTTATTTTGACCCTCTCATTTATCTCTCCCTAACCAACATCCACCCATTCCAACGACTCCGAAAAGTAAGTTGGAGAGGACTTTTCGCTCTATCCTTCAGCTTTGCCAAGAGGAACTGTCTACCCATCAGCATAGTAGCTGAAGTTGAAAAAAATATACCAAACACCAACAGTTAAGGCACTCAATTAAATGTTATATAAAAGAAATCAGTATCATGAAGCTAATTATAGAAACAGAACTACATGTAGATACATCAATCTGAAGAAAGTAAAACAAAAAATACCTTGTTGAAGAAAAAACTTTCAATCAGAACGATCATTTTAGGGCATGGAAATACCTAAAATAAATGTCGCACAGCGCAGGAGTGCATATAAAACAAAACATTGCATATATAAAACAAATCAAAATAAAAATATATAAATCAATATTGGAAGCTCCTGATTAACTTCGGGATGCTTTCACACTTGCATCCGTGGCTGCGGCGGTCTCTTTCGTACCCTGTGTGCAACAACACAATGTATCGAATAGCATAATCCGAAAAGCACAGGTCCGCACGCGTAAAACAACAAAAATGAAATAAACTTATAAATTAACAAAAATTACGAGCCTTATGAGCATTTGCTCAACAATAACGAAATGGAAAAAAATAAATAAATACAAAGTTATGATGAACAAACCTATAAGGAAACAATTTAATTAGTCATGGGATATGATCCTTCTGTTTAGTTTATAAAATAACCAGAATGGACTAATGATAAGCGTGTTTGAGATTGACGTCACAAAAATATAATTATATGTAAGCTAAATCTACACAATAAGGTGCAATCATTACATACCGACAATATTGTACAAAACTGTAAAATAGTTTCACAAAAAGCAACTCATGAAGTACAACAAAGAGAATAAGAACAGGCAGAACCCACCTTTATTGTCGATTTCGTCGCTCAGTTCCAACCCAACACTCAACGCCCCTTTTTTATAAAACACAGATAGAAACCCGCAACTAATATTATTTAAGCAAAATAATGATTCTAATAATTTTTATTCCCAAATTCCATGTTTCGTCGTGACCACCTTTTCAATTTTTTCCGTTTTCCTGACTTCAAGTTCATTTTTTTTTATCGGATTTTCCTGAGATGTCCAACACGCATTGGATGGATTATAAACAGAGTGCGCAAGCTGAACTAAGAGGATTGATGAAATAAAGAGTGGCGAGAATTTTGAAAGGATTTAAGAGGGGAAGTAACTCTTCATAAAGTTTTTGAAAAGCGTTTTTCTTAAGTTCCTCACTAAGTGATTTCACTTTCAGAATTGTAGATCTCTACTTTCTAACCAAAACCGGGATAGTGAAAACTACCTTTAGTTTTCATGGAGCGCCATCAATTTTTGAAGAAATGTTAATGGTTTCTTTTTAAATCGCAAATTATAAGTTTATACCAGCTGTCATATTTCGCATCTAACAGAATTAAATTGAAAACAAACAAAAGGTATGAAGGGTTTTGCAAAATTCTGTAAAGCTCAATTCATTACAGTTTCAAATATGCAATCTTATCTATGGTTCAGAGTACGTAGCATTACAAATAGGAATTAAAAGCGCTTGCAATCTTAATAAGATGCTCGTTAATTTGTTTGCTAAATGCTTAAGGCAACATATCCTTGTGGTTATAGATACCTACTGCTGACTAATTTTAAATAGACTTAACCAAGTATAATTTCCTATTGGAGTTTATTATCATATCTGCATTAACCAATTTAATAAGTACAGAATCCATTAATTCAAAATATTATGACATATTAATACACATACATATATGTACACAAATCAATATCTCACATCAGTATAGTCCGCAGAGGAGTAAATACCTACATATAGAATTTAAGCAACTGCAAAGACTAATCAAAATCAATAAATAAAGCCAGATCAGGTAATACAGCTCCTCTGCTTCAATTTACTTTCAATGTACGTACATATGTCATTATTTTCTTTTCTATCGGAATGCGCCGACAAAGTAAGGATNGGTTAATCAGAAACATTTAAGTACAATAATTTTATGGACAAATTGGCTCCAATAACAATAATTTATTTAGTAGAGTGTTTAGGAGTAGAGTTTGAATTTGAAGAAAAATAAGCTTATATACTAATTGGATGTGTCATGGTCGATGGCATGCTTCATAAGTAGGGGCAAAGCTCGCCGGATGTAACTCCTCCTCCCCTAGGATACAAGACGCCCTCGTTTTCAACGAATGCTGGATAAAAAGGGGCTGCAAATGGCTTATTATATAATTCCTAGAGTTGTTCGCCAGTTTATGTATCCATGTGGGGTAGACAGAACCAACTTTTGAGGCACAATGTCGTAATTAATACGATTAATAGTACGGCAGGGTGGTGATGATAGCCTGTAATGTGAAGAATAACTTCTATAGATGGAGTATTTTCTACTTTCTACAAGCAGTGTTGCTCTCTCTCGTGTTGATCTTGAGGTTAACTGTTTAGTTCAAGAAGCCCTTCTCTAGGGTAACAGTTTCAAACTGGACATCTCCTTTCTTGATTATGTTGTAATTTCCTTTTCATATATCTATCTGCTTATGTCAATGATTTTCTCATAGTTGATTAAATAAGAATCACATTTACGTTCCAACCGATAAAAATATTCATTTTCACCTCTAGACGTGTCCTGTACATAATTTATATATTGATGCTTTCTGTCAATCATACGCTTGAAAATTGATATTAAAAACCGGTTTGAATTAATTATGTATTATTTGCTTGATTTCGAGGCAGAGGGACTTATGTAAATTGCCGTACTTTGTTCTAAATAATCATTAAAATAGAAGCTATGTTCACCAACTGCGTCGTGTTTCACCGACGCGGTCCTGAATTACAGACCAGCATACACCCCAACCGCCCACCTCAAACGTCACAACAGCAGGCGGCGAAATTGAAGCGAGTAAGTGCATGATGCACATTAAATAGTATTTAAAGTGATATAATACGCATTTTTATATCAATAATGTCTATGATCTTTATCTCTCACAAGTGTTGTGGATTAAGCATTACCTTCCTAATAAGTATGTCAAAACAATGCTCCTTAAACCAGATACCGGTAGAACGTATGAACATCACCATCTGTGGAATCCAGCAATCCGAGCAATCTATAAAATATCGCATGCACGTTAACATGTTATCTCGATGTTCTAGGTTCAAAGCTATGTTATCATGCTTAATTCTGCCAAAAATCACAGGCAACCTCCCTAGTCTTCCATTGGACCAAGCGTTGTTTCCATCAGAACTTCCGCTAGCAGATCCCTCTTTCGGGGAAACTGGACCAATTGACATGCTGATCGGCGCAGAGATATTCTGGGAGCTACTGTGCATTGGACAATTTAAATTGGGACCTGAACAACCGACAATCCAGAAAACTCAGTTGGGATGGGTGATAACCGGACCGCTATCTAGGCAGCTTATCCCAGAGCTACCAAAAACATCTTGCCATCTTGTCACCAACCAACAACTCAACGAGGACATTGCTAAATTTGAAGGCTGTGAAGAAACCCACAGCACTCTTGCTATCAACGAACGGAACCGCTGTGAGCAACACTTTGGCAGTTCAACGACACGAAACAGTGAGGGACGTTTCGTGGTCAGAATTCCATTCAAGGAGGACACAAGAAAATTAGGTGAATATCGATTGATCGCTGAAAAACGGCTGCTATCCCTTGAACGACAACTCTCCAGGAACAAAGAACTTCGTGACCAGTATGTAGCCTTCCTGGACGAATACTAACAGCTTGGACACATGTCTGAGATTTCGGATATTACGGCGATGGCAACAGCAGGATACTATCTACCTCATCATGCCGTCACAAAGATAGACAGCAGCACGACAAAGTTACGCGTGGTTTTTGACGGATCGTCAAAATCGGACACAGGAATTTCCCTGAACGACATTCAACTAGTTGACCCAACCGTCCAAGACGATTTATTCTCTATTCTCCTTCGTTTTAGGAAACATCGCTACGTCCTGTCGGGAGACATTGCAAAAATGTACCGACAAGTATTGGTCCCTCCAGACGATCGACGATACCAAAGGATTTTGTGGCGGCGTACACCCTCATGCCCAATCAAACATTACGTACTCAACACAATGACCTATGGGACTGCGTCAGCGCCGTATCTAGCCACCCGCTGCGTACGAGAACTTTGCGAATTGCTTAAAAACAACAGTGACACACTATCACGAACTGTAATTCGAGATTGGCCTCAACATCAGGACATAATTGAAAATCCATCAATCATTGAGACAGAAGCCAGAACCCAACCAGTTGTACTAATTTCAACAAACAACGATTTCGGACTGCTACAAAGGTATTCGTCGTTATCCCGGTTAACCAAGGTCGAAGCGTGTCTGAACTCTCGACGTCTTTCTCCTCTTTCGGATGATCCCAACGACCTGATTCTACTTACTCCAGGCCATTTTCTAACTGGATGTCCGATAACAGCTCCACCTCAAATGGACGTAACTACTATTCCTACAAATCGACTTAACCGATACCAACACATGCTTCAAATGGTTCAGCATTTCTGGAAGCGTTGGCAAAAAGAGTATTTATACCAACTGCAACAACGGAAACGATGGTGCATCTCTCGAACTACTCCAATCAAACCTGGAATGTTGGTAATACTTCGTGAAGATAACCTTCCACCTCTCAAATGGAAGATGGGACCTATTCTTGAGACCTTTCCAGGAAATGATGGAATCACCAGAGTCGTATCTGTACAGACCGCAGATAGTGTGCTGAAAAGACCCGTGACAAAGATTTGTATTCTTCCAATAGAATATAATGTTAATTCTTCTGATTAAACAGTAATCTGAATTGTTATGCATCATATATTTAGGCTTTATTTCACTAGTTTCTAAAATTTTCTTTTTATTTAAAGTACCTTTCAAGGTGGGCAGAATGTTCAGATCATATCAATATTTGAATTTAGCAAATTATCATTATAGACGATAGTCAGGTAATCTGTTTGTATAGGCTTTCAGGATCACAACAGATGTTTGTATCACAGGAAATTAGGTTTTTCTAATAGCAAACTTTCCTGTCATTAAAATGAAATTACAATTGCTTTCTTCTACTTGAACACAGCAGGACATACGATTCAATACTCCCAAATTTACATTTTATTCTGGTTCTATTGTCCTGCCTTATCTTTACCTATTTATGTCTTCTTGCAATAGATTCTTGTAAATTTGTAATCGCTTATGTACAGATACATATGTACAATACATACTGTTGTTCCACCACTCACCCTTTCCACCCTCCTTATCCCCACACAACCACTCATCTTAAATTATATATTTGTTTGTATATATGAGAGACGAGAGTCTTGATCCAGCCTTCAAC